TCTTATTTAGCAGTTGTGATCTTGCTGGGTTACTCATTGCACAAACTCATCTTCACCTTCTTTTTAATCTTATAAATTCTTACTTTGTTGAAACTAAAGTTCCATGAAGCCTCCATCCCACATGCTCTACTTTTAAAGTTTATCTAAATTTTTTTTTTTCAATATATCCAGCCTTTCATGCTTAATTCTTCTTTTTGGCATCTCTAGCATCATTCATATTCCTCTTGGATGTCATAATTACTATCCACAAACAAGACAGGTTGATGAAAATATTGAAAATTGTTCACAAGTGAGAGCAAAACTAGGTGAGACTGCACCAGTAGGCTAATTGTCAAGTGGAGGGAAAAGATCCTGTGGCATGGCATATTTTCTCCTAAATTTATGGCATCCTTCCATGCTACTTGAAACTGGGTTGCAAGATTACAGTTGGATTATGGTAAAAGCATGTTGCTCAGTCATGTTGAGCATAATGTTTACCATGTAGACTATCATGAGATCCATGTTGACCATGCTGACCATGTAGACAATGTTGACCATGTTGATTATCATGATGACTATATAGACCACTATGTTGATCATGTAGTATACCATCATGCTGACCTTGTTGAAAAAATGATGATCTACTGTATATTCATGAAGTGCTAAAATCTAGGGAATGAGATGCAATTAGGTTAGATCCAATCAAGTGGAAGATAGCTCCAATTCCCTGGATGAAGAGTCATTTGCTGGCATCAGGCACATTCCTTGAAGAAAGACTTTTTTTTTTTTAAGTTTGATAAATTAGCAGACTCCTCGAGGATAGCATAATTTCTGAAGCCTTTTAATTAACCTCATAATAGGTACTTAATTTTTTCTCTATAAAATATAAAAACTGTGTTTCTAAGTTTGAGATATTTTTGCTAATAGACAAATTCATAATACAAGACCCGTTTTGACTGTTGAAAATTACGGACCATATTCTTTTACTACACATTCTTTGGAAAAAAAAGTTGCTGCTTTAAAAGGCAAAATAAAGATGAATCAGTCAGAATGTTAACAATTTCATTTAAAAAATTATTACAAGCCCATTTTACAACTTTAGCTGGATACAGGTACAGTAACAAAATATAAATAAAAAAATATTTGAATAGTCTTATTTATGCTAAGAAAATGCAAAAAAAGTAACAATTACTATAAATACTTAAAAGTGAGAACAAAGACTTTATATAATAATGCTGATACGTACATGTTTTCCATAATAATATTGGATCAGTTTTCATAATGCTGGGTCATTGTTCTATAATAATGCTGAGTCACCAGTTTTCATCATAATGCTGGATACCCAAGTTTTAAAGTGGGAAGTACAGTGGACCCCCGCATAATGATCACCTCCGAATGCGACCAATTATGTAAGTGTATTTATGTAAGTGCGTTTGTACGTGTATGTTTGGGGGTCTGAAATGGACTAATCTACTTCACAATATTCCTTATAGGAACAAATTCGGTCAGTACTGGCACCTGAACATACTTCTGGAGTGAAAAAATATCGTTAACCGGGGGTCCACTGTACTTAAATTAAAATTTTGCTTATCAGAATAAAGATTTTAAACTAATAATTTCAAAGTATAATAGATTAATGTTTGATGATAATCTAGTGTAGTGTATTTTAAAACCATGATTATATCACCTTAGGAAGCAGAAATGAGGATAAAATAACTGTGAAGACAAGCTTACCCTGTAATCTCTACAGTCCTTAAAAAAAACTTGTCCTTTTTAAAGAGAGAGTTTTTTAAAGTTTTTTAAAGACTATAGAGATTACAAGGTAAGCATAGGTATACGATCAGGAGAACAGATGTCAGAGATGTGAGGTTCAAAACTTAACTGTCAAGCCACATGCTGATGAACACATGACCCAAAGATCCCACCAACTGCCGGTTCCTAGGGGATGATTAATAGTGCTTGTGGTATAAATGTCTGGACAGCACTAATCCTTACCACAGATACCATTACCCAGAACCTGGGGGTTTCCTGATGGTGGGACCCCTTGGCTCACATGACCCTTAGTACACAGTGCCCTCCTAACCCAGGACAAGTCAGGTTTGCACCTCACGTCTCATCACCTGCTCTCTGAATTATGTGCCTATCCTTCTCTTAAAAAAGCATGGTCTCCAATTGAAAAGTTATCTGAATAAAGGCTGCCAATCTGTTACTGCATATTTTTATCAAGAAAAAATAACCTGAGACCTATGACTGACATTCACTCGTACTTCAACAGCCCAAAATTCAATTAACTACAGAGTGTACACAAACCCCCCACAGTGTATACGATCTAATTTACAGAAAATATTTTTCCATATGAGCTTTTAAAATTATAAAAAAAAAGGGAGGGAGGGGGGGGGCAGCACATACCCAGATGAGCAGGGATTACTATAACTATACAGTAGGGCCCCGCTTTATGGTGTTTCGCTTTATGGTGTTCCGGTAATATGGACATTTCAAATTATGACCAAAACTTGCTATATGACTCCCCCACCTGACTTTCTAATACAGTCACCACGCCCCACCCGACTTGTTTACATTCTCCGTGAGCTCTATGAGCACCACGTCTCTCCATTATGTCTGGAAACTCCAAAATTTCAAGTGTTTTTAAAAGTTATTTCATATTTATATATACACCTATCACGAGCCTTTTCCATCCTATGGAGAGGGAGCATGGACACGGGGGTCGTCCCACAGTTACTAAAAACAACAGACATAGCCCCACTCCACAAAGGGGGCAGTAAAGCAACAGCAAAGAACTACAGACCAATAGCACTAACATCCCATATCATAAAAATCTTTGAAAGGGTCCTAAGAAGCAAGATCACCACGCATCTAGAAACCCATCAGTTACACAACCCAGGGCAACATGGGTTTAGAACAGGTCGCTCCTGTCTGTCTCAACTATTGGATCACTACGACAAGGTCCTAAATGCACTAGAAGACAAAAAGAATGCAGATGTAATATATACAGACTTTGCAAAAGCCTTCGACAAGTGTGACCATGGCGTAATAGCGCACAAAATGCGTGCTAAAGGAATAACAGGAAAAGTCGGTCGATGGATCTATAATTTCCTCACTAACAGAACACAGAGAGTAGTCGTCAACAGAGTAAAGTCCGAGGCAGCTACGGTGAAAAGCTCTGTTCCACAAGGCACAGTACTCGCTCCCATCTTGTTCCTCATCCTTATATCCGACATAGACAAGGATGTCAGCCACAGCACCGTGTCTTCCTTTGCAGATGACACCCGAATCTGCATGACAGTGTCTTCCATTGCAGACACTGCAAAGCTCCAGGCAGACATCAACCAAATCTTTCAGTGGGCTGCAGAAAACAATATGAAGTTCAACGATGAGAAATTTCAATTACTCAGATATGGTAAACATGAGGAAATTAAATCTTCATCAGAGTACAAAACAAATTCTGGCCACAAAATAGAGCGAAACACCAACGTCAAAGACCTGGGAGTGATCATGTCGGAGGATCTCACCTTCAAGGACCATAACATTGTATCAATCGCATCTGCTAGAAAATGACAGGATGGATAATGAGAACCTTCAAAACTAGGAGGCCAAGCCCATGATGACACTCTTCAGGTCACTTGTTCTATCTAGGCTGGAATATTGCTGCACACTAACAGCACCTTTCAAGGCAGGTGAAATTGCCGACCTAGAAAATGTACAGAGAACTTTCACGGCGCGCATAACGGAGATAAAACACCTCAATTATTGGGAGCGCTTGAGGTTCCTAAACCTGTATTCCCTGGAATGCAGGAGGGAGAGATACATGATTATATACACCTGGAAAATCCTAGAGGGACTAGTACCGAACTTGCACACGAAAATCACCCACTACGAAAGCAAAAGACTTGGCAGACGATGCACCATCCCCCCAATGAAAAGCAGGGGTGTCACTAGCACGTTAAGAGACCATACAATAAGTGTCAGGGGCCCGAGACTGTTCAACTGCCTCCCAGCACACATAAGGGGGATTACCAACAGACCCCTGGCAGTCTTCAAGCTGGCACTGGACAAGCACCTAAAGTCAGTTCCGGATCAGCCGGGCTGTGGCTCGTATGTTGGTTTGCGTGCAGCCAGCAGCAACAGCCTGGTTGATCAGGCTCTGATCCACCAGGAGGCCTGGTCTCAGACCGGGCCGCGGGGGCGTTGACCCCCGGAACTCTCTCCAGGTAAACTCCAGGTAAACACCTACCATCCGACTTACGACCTGCTTGACTTACGACCACTCGACTTATGACCGTGTTTTTTATGCCAAATTTCTGGGAAATAAACAACTATTTGCGTTGTACACAGTGTTTATCCTAAACCTTACAGTATAAAATACAGTACTAACAACATAAAAAGTAAAGTAAAACATGAAATACCAAAATAAAACAAAATAAAGTTATTACAAAAATGTGATGTTGATATTCAGTAGTAAAGTTCGACTTGCGTCCATTTCGACTTACGACCGGTTTCTCGGAACCGAACTCGGTCGTAAGTCAGATGGTAGGTGTACTCTGATAATTATACTTATGTATACCTGTATCTAAATAAACTTACACAGTGCTGGCGTGCAGGTACACATTAAAATCAGCAAAAGTGTTTTGTCTCGAGATGCCATATTAGTAATGGTGATAATAATGATAATAATCACAAAGTTTCATTAAATATTGCATACTACATTAATACATGTACATGTATACACATTTTCATTAATCCATCTACAATATTTTTTCAAAATTATATAATAAACACTATACATAACACAAAGATGATAAATACACCCCACAGTGGAATAAATAAACAAAGATGAGATGTGGTAGCCAGACGACTTGTACGAGTGACGCCATATTAGTAACGATAATAACTCAATAATAATCACCGAGTCTCATTAAATGTTGTATATTACGTTACTATACACATTGTCATTAATCCATCTATCATTTTTTCAAAATTATATAATAAACACGATACATAACATATAAAGATGATAAATACACCCCACAGTAGAATAAATAAACAAATATGAGATGTGGTAGCCAGACAACTTGTACAAGTGATGGCAAGAATAATATTTTCTCTAGTCCAACATAAGAGAAAATGTGTTACTGGGGATAACTGCAGAAAATTATTCCTTTTGTATGCCTTCACTTAGAGTGTTATTTCTTCTAAAAAATGGTGTTACATGAGAATGGGAGTGATCCTCTTTATTTATTCCACCGTATCAATGTAGAGACAACCTGTACACAAACCAGACGTGTTTACTTGGTTTGTTTACAAAACTGGTGTTCGTCTGGTTTGTTGACATAACTCCATGAGTGCCCTCTCTCGTGTATTCATTCTCTCTCTCTCTCTCTCTCATTTACTCATTTGATCTCATTTACTCATCTCTCATCCTACATTAAGACTACAAATATTTTAAGTAATGAGTGAACTGTATATGCATTTTATCACTCTGGGATACTTAAATGTCATAGAATATTATGTGTGGGTGGGTTGGCCTGGTATGATAGCCTGGCTGGCTACCATACATATCACACTTGATTTCTTACAATAAATACTGCTCTTCTCACCCTAGATTAAGACGACAAATATTTTAAGGTAAGTAATGAGTGTACTATACAGCAGGGCCCCGCTTTACGCGGTTTGCTTTACGGCATTCCGCTAATACGGACATTTCAAATTATGACCAAAACTCGCTATACGGCTCCCCCCACCTGTCTTTCTAATACGGTCACAGCTGCCCACCGAGTTTGTTTACATTCTCCCTGAGCACATCTCCTTATTATGTCTGGAAACTTTCCAAAATTTCAAGTGTTTTAAAGTTATTGTATATTTTATATGTATTGTACTTGATAATTAAACCTGTGTACACCTGTACCTAAATAAACTTACACACTGTGCTGGCATGTAGGTACACATTAAAATCACTAAGTCTCTCTACTCTTGATGCAATAATAATAATAATAATAATAATAATAATAATAATAATAATAATAATAATAATAATAATAATAATAATAATCTCTTGGGCGCATTAATGTCGCATATTACGTTAATATAGACATTTCCCTTAATCTATGATATTTTTTTCAAAATTATATAAGAAACACATTATGTAACACACAAACATGATACATGCACCCACAGTATAAAAATTTATACAAATATATATGAGATGTTTACCAAACGGTTTGTAGAAGTGTCGGAAGAATTACGTTTTCTCTAGCCCGTCACCTGTTACTAGGGATAACTGTAGAAAAAATATTCCTTTCGTATGCCTTCACTTTATAGCTATAATTCTGTACTAACTTGTACACAGTGTAAGAGTATTTGTTTCGTGATTTAATTATTATAATAATAATAAAAATATTATAAGGTAAAAGTTTCACAAACTCTTACAAATGTACATGAATGAACTAAAACTGGACACGTATTAATACCGTCTATTTCGCCTGACCGAGTGATCGTCCACAACCTGTTCAGTTTGTTTGTTTACGCTGTCTGAGCTCGGTGTATCATTAAATGTTGTATATTACGTTAATATACACATTTTCATTAATCCATCCGTGATATTTTTTTCAAAATTATATAATAAACACGATACATAACATAAATACATAACAACATATGTGTAGAGAACCTGGGATAACCCAAAAAAGTCAGTGACTTACTTCCATTGCCTTCACTCAGAGCATCATTTCTTCTCAAAATGATGTTACATGAGAATGGGAGTGTTCTTCTTTATTTATTCTACCGTATCAATGTAGAGACAACCTGTACACAATGTAACTTATACACAAACCAGACGTGTACACTGTTTACAAAACTTACCGTCACCTGGTTTGTTTACATAACTCTGCGCCTGTCCTCTCTCATGCACTCATTCTTTCTCTCTGGTATGGTAGCCTGGCTGACTACCATACATACCACACTTGATTTTTTACAATAAATACTACTCATCTCACCCTATATTTTAAGGTAAGTAATGAGTGAACTGTATATACATTTTATCGCTCTGGGATGCTTAAATATCATAGAATAGTATGTGTGGGTGGGGTGGCCTGGTATGGTAGCCTGGCTGACTACCATACATACCACACTTGATTTCTTACAATAAATACTACTTGTCTCACCCTAGATTAAGACTATAAATATTTTAAGGTAAGTAATGAGTGCACTATGTGTGTATTGTACTTTTTTATTGTTTTTTTGATGCCTGGTTCTATTGCTAACATAATATATGTTAGTGTAAACTTGTTATCTAGTGTTTGTATGCATTTGTAAGTGGAAAAAAAGGGTGTTCCACTTTATGGCGGTTTCCGCTTTACGGCGGTAGCCTGGAACCTAACCCGCCGTATAAGTGGGGCCCTCCTGTATGTGTATTTTACTTTATTGTTTTTTTTAATTCCTAGTTCTATTGCTAACTTAATATATGTTAGTGTAAACTTGTTACCTAGTATTTATATGCATTTATAAGTGGAAAAAAAAGTCTTCCACTTTACAGCGATTTCTGCTTTACGGCGGTAGCCTGGAACCTAACCTGCCGTATAAGTGGGGCCCTACTGTATTCACCAAAATATGCTAAACCTGTAATGCAAGGAACAACAAAGGTGGTGTGGTATTTTGAGTCATGTCCAGGTGGGAACCACCTCTGCAAAAAAAAAAAAAAAAAAAAAAAAAAATCCAACATTCTGTTTTCTGATCTTCAAGAAATAATGACTGCAGCCTCTAAACCATCTGGTGTCATCTGATTCTAATGTGTCTGGTGGTGATAATGCCAAGGGGGAGGCAAGGGGATATTTCAGACCCCGTATATAAATAGCAATACAGCCTCTCCTCACTTAAGAATGAGTTCTGTTCCTTGGACCACGTCGGTAAACGAATTCATCGCTAAGCAAGGAGCATACTATAATGGTAGTGGGTTTGTGTCAACCATCTTTGATACTGTTTTAATGTCACTTTTGCACCATTTATAACATTTCTAGTATATTTTTAAATGTGTATACAGTAGTGTACTGTATATTGTAATAAATGGAATAGAAGAAATCAGTTCTAATATACATTATATAGGTATGCATACTGATCAGAGAGCCTGTCGTAAGTCCGAGTTGTCAGTAAACGAGTAAGTCGCTAAGTGAGGAGAGGCTGTAATAACTCTGAGTCATTCAATGCCTGGGAACTGGGAGGCAATTATGATCCAAGGCAAGTTTAACTCCTGTTTCTTGGATCAAGAGCTCCTCACCAGTATCAAGGCATAGTCTTAAGAGGAAAGGGATGGTTCTCCAAGTATACATGCCTTAAATCTAGTGTCTGGGTCTTGGACGGTTTCAATATGGCAAACAAAATATTGAAAACCCTCTGATTCTTTATTCTTTACTGTCATACCATATATAGATGTGCTCAGGTGGGTTTTAATGCAAATGAGAAAGCTGGTATGGTAGAATATTGTAAATCTGATCCATTACCTGATGTGGTGTTTTATCTCCAAAATATTTAAATGTCTATTTAAAATAAGTATACTGATAATTCTACACAGATACAGTACACAGAATTTACTTTGGCAAACATGTAATTTGTGAATACATATTAAACAATACAACTTAATTACTTGCATGAAAATACATTATATTAAAAATAGGTGCTAAACCCACAGAGATAGAATTTAAAATGACTTACAAGGTCTTACAAAACACCTTACATTACTGTACACACTAACCTTGATAGTACATCACAGATGTGAAAGGCGCCCTCATCACTAATATGTTTAATATTCATCTTAAGATAAGCTAATCCTGACTAATAAATAATACAAATAAAACATTATGAAAGTATTTGCTACATGGTCAACTTACTATTCTGAATAAACTGCAAGATCTGACTATATTTGTACAAAAAGTAATAAATTACCTGACTTGCAGTCCTACATAACTGTTTAAGCAACCTGTAGCTCAGAAGTAGAGCATTTGGCTCACAAGTGAAAGGACCTGGGATAGATTCCTGGGCTAGATAGATCTCTTGAAATCTCCTTACACCTGCTGTCCATACTCACCTACCAGTAAACAGGCACAAATGTTAGATGACTATTATGGGTTGCACTCTGGGGAATAAAGGGTAGGGTAGAATGCCATAGAGGGCTAGGCTTTAAAATGAGCTGAGGTAGGACAACAACTCTAACATGTAAACTGACCCTTTAAAAAAGTACATTAAAATCTATGAGCTACTGCAATTACAATTTTTCTGTATATTAAACATTTTTAATAAGTTGTATTTTTAGAACAGCATGTATTATATAATGCTTCACAAGTTTACACTTTGAGGAAATATACATGTAAAATCCATGTCAATGCCAGTACTGTATCTAATTGGCCACTTGGTGTATAGTAACAGGATAACACTACTACTATGTAGATTTCCACACATTCATATGCTCTCAATAAGAATTCTGTAAAATTTTTAACAAATATAAATGGTCCAAATTACACCTTGGAAACAATTAATATTAAATAATGTTTTATATGTTTATACTACTGTCCAGCAACACACAATTATCTAACTAATTTTTCATTATACAAGTAATGGATAACATCTTGTCAGCAACTGAATGAAAATTATAATTAGTACAAATATTCAATGTTAAAAGAAAATTAATAATAGTCTAGGATGGACAGAAATGTTGTCTAAGGTTTCCTCTCTGAATTATGGGTTAGCTGTGAATCAGCTGCATTTAAAATTACAACAGATGATGAACTTTTATTTACAAATATTTTATCAACACTAACTACTGGCACTAACTTCAAAAATAAATGTATTTACTACCACTTTTAACACAAGCTTTGACACAAGTGAAACTTGCCACCAACGTATCACCGACAACAGCAGATCCAGATGTGAAACCATCATCGTCTATATGCACGACAATATAACGTCAAGAATTAAAATGAGACCAGCCTTTATTTTACAATATTTTCAGCTACTGAACAGTGGATCATGCTAACTCCTTGATCCTTATCCATGACTAATTTTTTACCATCCTCGTCTTATGCTTTACTAAAGTACACTACATCTTACACCAGACCAACTTTATATTGTACTTTTGTTTCTGTTATTAAATCTCAATTAGTTGAACGTGTAGAATAATTTAAACTGGTGAAAATTAATTTTTTTACTAAATGTTTGCATTACTATATGGCACATATGTGACTCAAATTACAAAGTTGCCTATAAAAACATTATTTCAAATACAAAACATTTGCCTTAAATGATTAAAAAATAATTTAGTTCTCAATTTATTTCATTAAAAAATATTAAGTACTTCCATACTACTGCATAAAGCAATGCATGTGCAATGTCTGTCCGTGCACCAGAAGCATGTTATCTGAACCTGCTATAACCTGTGAAAACTGGCATTGTTCAATACTGATCTTAACACTTTTAGGATTTTTTTGACAAAACACCTGCTATCCTTTTCTTAACAGAAGGCATTAGTTGTATATGATCATCCACACACTGCATGGCACACCCCTCGAACTCCGCTTTATACACAGACACCTGCAAAGAAAAAAAAAAAATAAGTGTCACACTGATGTATAGTACTATATTAGTCATAGTTACAGAAAGTACTAAACCCTTAGAAGTTGTACAGCAATGAATTCTTCTGTTATTTCAATAATATGCTAAAATATATCAACCAAAGAGGTCATACAGTGCTGAACAGTACTATATTTTAATATTTCTTTGATAATACTACATAATCGTACTACAACACAGGGTATAAAGGTAAAGCACAAATCCACATACAGTTGACGACTGCTTAATCAACACTTGCTGAAAGTAATTCTGAATAATGGCAGAAAACAAAACCATTACATTAATGATGTACAGTACTGTACTGACAAGTTAATAAATAAGATATGTGCAGGTTCATAGGTAGTAGGTTGGTAGACAGCAACCACCCAGGGAGGTACTACCATCCTGCCAAGTGAGTGTAAACTGAAAGCCTGTAATTGTTTTACATGATGGTAGGATTGCTGGTGTCTTTTGTCTGTCTCATAAATATGCAAGATTACAGGTACGTCTTGTTACTTCTACTTACACTTAGGTCACACTACACATAAATGTACACATTTATCTATACACACTCATCTGAATTTTCTTTGATTTTATCTTAAATAATTCTTGTTTCTTATTACTTTTTCTTTTACATATATCCATGGGAAGTGGAATAAGAATCTTTCCTCCGTAAGCCATGCGTGTCGTAAAAGTCAACTAAAATGCCGGGAACAATGGGCTAGTAACCCCTTTTCCTGTAATAATTACTAAAAAGCATCAGAAAATTTTCAAAGTGGTATGTCTGAATGTGTGTGGATGTTGTGCAAATGATAAGAAAGAGATGATTGTGGATGCTATGAATGAGAAGCTGGATGTCCTGGCTTTAAGTGAAACAAAGCTGAAGGGGGGTGGGAGAGTTTCAGTGGAGAGGAATAAATGGGATTAGGTCAGGGGTTTCAAATAGAGTTAGAGCTAAAGGAGTAGTAGCAATAATGTTGAAGGATAAGCTATGGCAGGAAAAAAGGGAGTATAAATGTATTAATTCAAGGATTATGTGGAGTAAAATAAAGGTTGGATGTGAAAGGTAGGTTACAGTAAGCATTTATGCATCTGGAGGAAAAAAAAAAAAAAGAGAGAGAGAGAGAGAAGAGAGAGAGAGAGAGAGAGAGAGAGAGAGAGAGAGAGAGAGAGAGAGAGAGAGAGAGAGCAGGAGAGAGAGAGAGCAGAGAGAGAGGACAGAGAGAGAGAGAGAGAGACGAGAGAGAGGAAGAGAGAGAGAGACAGAAGAGAGAAGAGAGAGAAGGAGAGAGACAGAGAGAGAGAGCAGAGAGAGGAAGAGACAGAGAGAGAGAAGAGAGAGGGGGAAGAGAAGAAGAGAGAGAGACAGAGAGAGAGAGAGACAGAGAGAGAGAGAGACAGAGAGAGAGAGAGAGACAGAGAGAGAGCAGAGAGAGAGAGAGAGAGAAGAGAGAGAGAGAGAGAGAGAGAGAGAGACAGAGAGAGAGAGGAGGACAGAGAGAGAGAGGACGAGAGAGAGAGAAGAGAAGAGAGAGAGAGAGAGAAGAGAGAGAGAGCAGAGAGAGAGAGAAGAGAGAGAAGGAGAGAGGAGGAGAGAGAGAGAGACAGAGAGAGAAGAGAAGAAGAGGAGACGAGAGAGAGAGAGAGAGAGAGACAGAAGAGAAGAGAGAGAGACAGAGAGAGGAGAGACAGAGAGAGAGACAGAGAGAGAAGACAGAGAGAGACAGAGAGAGACAGAGAGAGACAGAGAGAGAGAGACAGAGAGAGAGAGACAGAGAGAGAGACAGAGAGAGACAGAGAGAGAGGAGACAGAGAGAGAGAGAGAGAGAGACAGAGAGAGAGACAGAGAGAGAGAGACAGAGAGAGAGACAGAGAGAGAGAGAGAGAACAGAGAGAGAGAGAGAGACGAGAGAAGACAGAGAGAGAAGACAGAGAGAGAGAGAGAGAGAGAGAGACAGAGAGAGACAGAGAGAGAGACAGAGAGAAGAAGAGAGAGAGACAGAGAAGAGAGACAGAGAGAGAGACAGAGAGAGCAGAGAGAGAAGGAGAGACAGGGAGGACAGAGGAGAGACAGAGAGAAGAGAAGAGAGAGAGAGAAGAGGACAGAGAAGAGAGACAGAGAGAAGAGAGACGAAGAGAGAAGAGGAGACGAGAGAGAGAGAGAAGAGGAAGAGAAGAGAGTAGAGAGAGAGAGAAGTGAAGAGAGAGAGAGAGAGAGAGAGAAGAGAGAAGAGGAGAGTCAGAAGGTAGAGAGACGGGTAGAGAGAACAATGGAGAGAGAGAGTAGAGAGTAAAGAGAGACAGAGAGGAGAAGCAGAGAAGAGAGAGAGAGTAGAGAGAGGAAAAAGGAGAAGACGAGAGGAGAGAAGAGGGAAGAGAGAATTTTGAGAAAGAGTGATGTGTGGAGTTTAATGAGGAAGAGGTGAGAGATGGAGTGGAAGTAAGAGAGTGAGGTAAAATGTGGAGGGAGAGAGGTAAATATTGGAGGAATGGGGGTAAGAAAATGGGGAGTTTATTGAGGGTAGAGAGGTGGAAAGTATCAAATGAAAAAGAGGTGAAATAAAAACAAGATGATAGTAGATGTGAAGAAGTAGTTTGGTTAGTTATGTATGGGGTAAGGCTTCAGGATGTACACGTTTAAGAGGGGCAACTGTTATCGGGCCATATTAGTTGTAGCTACAGATAGAGTAAGGGTAGATGGGACAAGAGGAAAATGCAACAACAAGTAAAGAGGAGGTGAAAGTGTATAAACTAAGGGAGGAGGAAGTTTGGGTGAGATAAGCAACTATTGACAGAAAGGTGGGCTGGTGCAAGTATGAGTGGGGGGGGGGGGGGGGAAGAGGGTTGGAATAGTTTTAAAAATGCAGTAGTAGAATGTGGGGCAGAAGTTTGTGGTTATAGGAGGGTGGGTGCAGGAGGAAAGAGGAGTGATTGGCAGAATGATGAAGTAAAAGGTGTGATAAGAGAGAAAAAGGTAGCTTATGAGAGGTTTTTACAAAGCAGAAGTGTTATAAGAAGAGTAGAGGATATGGAGAGTAAAAGAAAGGTAAAGAGTGGTGAGAGAGTGCAAAAGAAGAGCAGATGATAGAGTGGGAGAGGCACTGGCAAGAAATTTTGCTGAAAATAAGAAAAATTTTTGGAGTGAGTTAAACAAGTTAAGAAAGCCTAGGGAACAAATGGATTTGTCGGTTAAAAACAGAGTAGGGGAGTTAGTAGATGGGGAGATGGAGGTATTGGGTAGATGGCGAGAATACTTTGAGGAACTTTTAAATGTCTATGAAGAAAGGGAGGTGGTAATTTCATGCACTGGCCAGGGAGGTATACCATTTTTTAGGAGTGAAGAAGAGCAGGATGAAAGTGTGGGGGAGGTGCGTGAGGCATTACGTAGAATGAAAGGGGGTAAAGCAGCTGGAACTTAAGGGATCATGACAAATGTTAAAAGCAGGTGGGGATACAGTGTTGGAGTGGTTGGTATTTTTGTTTAATAAATGTATGAAAGAGGGGAAGGTACCGAAGGATTGGCAGAGAGCATGTATAGTCCCTTTATATAAAGGGAGGGGGGACAAGAGAGATTGTAAAAATTATAGAGGAATTAGTTTACCGAGTATACCAGGAAAAGTGTACGGTAGGAGGTTTTAGAGTGGGTAGGGGATGTGTAGATCAGGTATTTACATTGAAGCATATATGTGAACAGTATTTAGATAAAGGTAAGAAAGTTTTTGTTGCATTTATGGATTTAGAAATGGCATATGATTGAGTGGATAGGGGAGCAATGTGGCAGATGTTGCAAGTATATGGAATAGGTGGTAAGTTACTAAATGCTGTAAAGAGTTTTTATGGGAACAGTGAGGCTCAGATTAGGGTGTGTAGAAGAGAGGGAGACTATTTCCTGGTAAAAGTAGGTCTTAGACAGGGATGTGTAATGTCACCATGGTTGTTTAATATATTTATAGATGGGGTTGTAAAAGAAATAAATGCTAGGGTGTTCAGGAGGGGGGTGGGATTAAATTATGGGGAATCAAATACAAAATGGGAAGTGACACAGTTACTTTTTGCTGATGATATTGTGTTTATGGGTGATTCAAAAGAAAAATTGCAGAGGTTAGTGGACAAATTTGGGAGTGTGTGTAAAGGTAGAAAGTTGAAAGTGAACATAGAAAAGAGTAAGGTGATGAGGGTATCAAATGATTTAGATAAAGAAAAATTGGATATCAAATTGGGGAGGAGGAGTATGGAAGAAGTAAATATTTTCAGATATTTGGAAGTTGATGTATCAGCGGATGGATTTATGAAGGATGAGGTTAATCATAGAATTGATGAGGAAAAAAGGTGAGTGGTGCATTGAGATATATGTGGAGACAAAGAACATTTTCTATGGTGGCAAAGAAGGGAATGTGTGAAAGTATAGTGGTACCATCACACTTAATGGGTGTGAAGCTTGGGTTGTAAATGCTGCAGCGAGGAGGCGGTGGAGATGTCCTGTCTAACGGCAATGTGTGGTGTAAATATTATGCAGAAAATTAGGAGTGTGGAAATTAGGAGGTGTGGAGTTAATAAAAGTATTAGACAGAGGGCTGAAGAGGGGTTGTTGAGGTGGTCTGGTCATTTAGAATGACATGGAGAGCGTATAAATCTGTAGGGGAAGGAAGGCGGGGTAGGGGTCGTCCTCGAAGGGGTTGGAGGGAGGGGGTAAAGGAGGTTTTGTGGGCGAGGGGCTTGGACTTCCAGCAAGTGTGTGTGAGCGTGTTAGATAGGAGTGAATGGAGACGAATGGTATTTGGGACCTGACGAGCTGTTGGAGTGTGAGCAGGGTAATATTTAGTGAAGGGATTCAGGGAAACCGGTTATTTTATATAGCTGGACTTGAGTCCTGGAAATGGGAAGTACAATGCCTGCACTTTAAAGGAGGGGTTTGGGACATTGGCAGTTTGGAGGGATATATTATGTATCTTTATACATATATACTTCTAAACTGTTGTATT